GGGCAAGGTACCTAAGATGAAGGTGGAGTTTGGGGAGGTGGAGGGATACTGGAACAGCTGATACTAGGGAGAGGTAAGCGGCTGCTTATATACTCTGTTTGTTGATTGAAAGATTGGATGGGCTCGCTCCTCCCTAATTTACGTTTAGGAACTTCATTTAACGAGTTCGTTTGCCCATAAAATCTTTAAGATATTAGGTTAAACTTATTTGGCTTGCTGTCCGCTGGAGAGGGGCTCGATGAAGCAGCTTCAACTCGAGCTCTGATATACCCCCCAAAAGTGTTGAATAAATATTTGGGACAGCAAGTTAGAATAACGTGATCAAATACGGGATGCCTATAAGCTTAAAGTATGTTACCCCCCAAAAGAGTGGAAATTGAAAGCTGTATGGAGCATGGATGGACACTGCTGCGGCAGTGATATGTTTAAAGGGGCTCCTGGCTGGAACTGCGTCTCCCTACTATGCCCACCATGTGGGGCTATGAGTGGAGCTCCGGCGGGAGCTGTGTTTTAAAGAGTGTGCCTGCGTTCGTTGTGGAGTGAAACGACATGGGCTTGTGGAAATTTGACTGGGGTACATCTCACCGCTGCACTGCTGCGGCAGTGACTTTCAGAAATGACTCCTGCGGGAGTATCTTGGGACTGGAGGTTTGAGTACGAGGTTGGAGAACGCCCTGCCACATCCATGACATGGAGCCCTATGGAGTTAGAGCACATGGGGCTTCCAGATGTCACAAATGGGGAAGAAGGTCCTCGTCCCTAAAGGCGAACGGGCCACCGGTGTCTGAAGCGAAACTCCCTACGCAGCAAGAGGGAGCCTACGGTATACATAGGAAATGCAGAACTACCATCCTTCTGATGCAGGGGGCGAAGATCGCATAAAGACATAATGGCCCGTCGCGTTCGAGGGACGTACGATCCTTGGTACCTCCAGTCCTGATTTTTTTCGGATAGGAGGGCCCACACTGCGATCCGAACGGGAGAGCCTCCATGGTTAAAAACATGAAGGATCACACAGCGATTCGGAAAGGGAGAGCCCCCACGGCGCCCGAACGGAAAGCTCACACTGCGATTCGACCGGGAGAGCTCCCGCTGCGTTTCGAAGGAGAGAGCCCCCCCCATATGTATAAATAGGGAGCTCACTCGGCAATCAAAACGGGAGAGCCCACACAGCAAGTCGAACGGGAGAGCCTATGATGCATCTGAACGGGGGAGCCCACACGGCGATTCGGATGGGAGACCCCACTCCAGGAGTGGTAGGTCACGCACATCCGAAAAGGGAGAGCTCTCACTGCATCCAGATGGGAACACGCCCTGCGGGGCTAGGTAAGCGGGGAGATGCGAATAGTAGGGAGAGGCGGTCCAGATTCAGAAGGATGCTAGTGCTTGTTGTGCTTGTCTAATGTTATGTAGATCTGAACGAACGTATGTTTCGAAGGCGTGGGATGACCATCGGCCTAGCATTTTGATTTGGTGATCGGAAAGGCCCCTTTGTGCTGCTGTGGTGGCTGCACCTATTCGGAAGGAATGTGAAGAAAACTGTTTGGTTGGGATGCCGCAGCTGTTGAGGATGGATTTGAGGTTCCTTTGAAACCAATGTCTGGAGGCCGGGAGGTTATCATCATCGATGAAGAGAGGATCGAGAGAAGAGGTGATTTGGGATTTCCTCTGGTGGAGAAAAAAGTTTAAGGACTGGTATGGTTGGATAGGGGTTGGCAAATTGAAGATGAAAATCGAATGACCATGTTTCAATTGATCGGTTTTGCTTTGTTTGATGTTGAAACGTATGGTGTCGGAGTTTATTATTTGGAGGTCGGAGAACGTGGGATGGATGGATGGGTTGAAGTTTGAGTTGATGGTAAATTCTGAGACTCTGAGGAAACCAAAGAAAGCCAAATTGAACATGGCATCTAGGGTTCTTGCTTTGATGGGAGAAAAAAGACCTGAGCGGAGAGTGGTTAGGCAGGTGCTGAGAATGTCGATGGTTAAAGGTTGTCTAGAGTCTGGACAAGGGGGATTGGTTTTTTGTAAACCTTTGATGAGGAGAGAAATCTGGGGATTTGAAATGTTGGGGCACTGTTGGCCATGGAGTAGCTTAAAAAAGAAATGAATTCCGCTGAGGTAGACTTTGATTGATCCTGGTTTAATTGAGGTGGTGTGATGGAGGTATGTGACGAAGGAGGATATTGAGAGGAGGGAAAACTCTGGAAAGACCATGTTGTGAGCTCTGTGGAATTTTTTGAAAGAACCCCAAGCTGTCCAGTATGTTTGAAGCGTTCTGGGAGAAACAGCTTGTAGGATGGTATTCATGGATAGGGTATGGAGATGACTGAGGGGATGGTCTAGAGGAATATGAGTTCTGAATAAGGTGGAACTGGAGTTGGATTGGAGTCTGCTTCCGGAGCCAATGTTCTGAATTTCTGGAAAAGAAAACGGGATAAAGCATCAGCTATTTCATTTTTGTGACCTGGAATATGTTCAGCTTTGATGATGAATTGATGACAGGCAGAGATCCAAATGAGGCGCCTTAGAAAGGGCATGATTTTTGGAGCATTGGAACGTTTTTTGTTGATACAGTAAACGGTGGCGGAATTATCACAGTGGAACAGGATGTTTTTTGTTGACCATTCGGATCCCCATAGATAGGCTGCAACTACTATGGGATATAGCTCGAACAGGGCGGTCGAATCAGCGGTTTGAGGTGTATTGGTTAGCTCAGGAGGCCAGGTTGAGGCAAACCAACGTCCTCTGTAGAAACCTCCAAAACCTTTGGAGGGGGCAGCGTCAGTGAACAGGGTGATGTCGCAAGGTCGGGACACGAAGTCGGTGTAGAAGAAGGTAATCCCGTTCCATTGTTTGAGGAATGAGATCCATAATTTCAGGTCTGCCCTACATGGTTGGCTTAGTGAAATTATGTCTTCCAAACTAGATGCTGAGGTAGCGAGAGTTAGCAGATGGGAAATGAAAGGCCGGCCTTGGGGAATTATGCGCATTGCGTAGTTTAGGTGGCCTAGGAGAGAAAGCAGATCGCGCTTGCTGCAATGGTTAGCTTCCAGCAAATTTGATGCGATTGTGATTATGCGATCTATTTTTTCTTTGGGGAGAGAAGCTTGGAATTTGACAGTGTCTAGGAGGATTCCAAGAAATTCCAATGACGTAGAAGGGCCTTCGGTTTTTTCGAGAGAAAGGGGAACTCCTAGTTTGGAAAACACTGTTTGGATGACGGTTAAGTGTTTTGCTGGAGGGAAATTACTTGGTGAGATGACGAGGAAGTCGTCGAGGAGATGGATGAGGTACGGGATTGCGTGATTGTTTTGTAGAATCCAGCAGAGTGCTTCTGAAAGCATGTCGAAAATTTTGGGACTGCTTTTACAGCCGAAAGTTAGCCGCACTGCGAAGTAGTATTTTTCGTGCCAACGAATGCCGAAAAGGTGCCAGAAATCTGGATGAATTGGCATGACTTTAAAGGCCGATGTAATGTCGACCTTTGCTAGCCAGGCTCCGGAACCGGCGTTTTTTATGAGAGATATTGCTTGGTCTATGTCGTGGTAGTGCAGTGAAAATTCGTCTAGAGGAATTAGGCTGTTGATACTGGGTTGGGAATTTCCATGGGGAGCCGAGAGATCGATGATGATTCGTTTTTTGCCTGAAAATTTTCTAGTGGCTACTCCGATAGGACTTATACGGAATAATTTGAAAGGTGGAGAATCAAAAGGGCCGATCATGAATCCTGAATCTAGTTCTTTTTTGATTAGGGTTTCCACTATATCGGGTTCGGCTGTCGCGGATTGAAGGTTGTTGCAAATCAGGCTGGAATCAGGTATGCTTACCAAGCCGGGGTCAAAACCTTCTTTCAGGCCTGTAAGAAGAAATTGGGTGAAGTTTTTGTCTGGATGGTTGTGTAGTTCTCTAGCTAGTGATGAAATGATGATTGGACTAGACAGGTACTTTTGAAATTTTTTATTGAGGTTAGCAGAGGAGCGGCGCACGGGGCAAATGGAACGGGCGTGAGCTCCGCCGCAGAAATTGCAGACATGAAGGAAGCGGCATCGTTGTCTGTTGCAACCTGAGGAATTGAAGCTGTTGCATACTTGTCTACCTGAAACTGAGGTAAATATCTGACTGCGGTCGTTCCTTGGTTGAGGGACGTAGGCGGTGGATTTTTCTTGGAAAGGGGCTGGATGGGTTGGATGATCTGGGTTGGTTTGGGGACATTCTGAAGTAGAATGAATAATGGACCTGCAGATGGCGCAAGAAAGGCTCCGAACGCCTAAGAAGACTCTGTTGTAAAGTTCGAGGTCCAGAGCTCCCCAATAAGGACACTGGTTCCAGTGGGTGACACGGGCGGCACATTTAGCTGAAAAAAGCTTATGATAGGTATAAAAATGACTACCTCCGAAAGAGAGACTGAGCTCTGCTATAATGGAGAGGTAGTCGTTTAATTCCTTGCGTCTGGCTGGAAATGAAGTGCAAATTACTTCAGTATATCTAGCAAAAGCGATGCAGAATTCTGCGAGTGTGAGAACTCGTTTTAAAGGTTGTACAGAATTTTTAAGATTGATGGTTAATGGGCCGCAATCAAACGAGCGGTGGGATTCATTGAGGGGGACGGAAGTCAGTAGAGAAGGAAGATCGATATCTGCACCTGATAGAATTAAGGACCGGAGATGGGCTGAAACTGGAGGTGGTTCCATGGCCACTGCATTAGGAGGAGCTGGAAGATGGACTGCTGTGGAGAGTGAATGGGCTGGCAAGCGGATTGTACCTGGAGAGTAGGTGTGAGTGTTGGGAAAAGTAGATAAATGATGATCGGAGGGTCCCATTACTGGCTGGTGTCCAAAATGGCTCGCATGGGCTGAAGTTGGAGGAATGGGAAGGTTTCTGGGAAAGAAAGGAGAAGTCCTTTGCGGAGGCAGCCTCACGCTCGGATGTGAACTGGGAAGGATATTAGGATATGATTGGAAGATAGAGGTGGGAGGAAAGGAATGGGTTTAAAAAGGCTGCAGTTTAAAGTTACTTCTTTCCTCACAGTTCCAGTCACATCCTCACAGCTTACACTGATGTCATCTGAAAAATAACAATGCATATCATATAATACAGCAACTGAATAGAGATCTGTTTTTTTAAACATTTCATTGAACATTTAACATATCAGACTTCTGTGTCGGTGTCAATAATAAACACTGTGACTTCTTCATTAGAGAACATATTCATAAATAAAACCACTATGTGTTTTTGTACACTAGATTTTTAATAGAATATAATCTCTGTTAATGGGAGAGTCACAACATCCTGACTATTTCTTTTAATCACGTGCATCAGATAGAGTCAGTTGAGAAACACAAGATCCTGTTGTCTTGACCTGTGCTTATCTGTATGAACACATTATTTTATGTAAAAGAGTGTGAGTGTATAAACACATAAATTAGCAGAAAACACTGCTCCCTAATGGATTTCCTTCTATTGTGTTAGTCATTCCAACGTAATTGTTCAAACACTTGGACGGAACTGAATAAACTTTAAAAGGTTTAAAGAGCCAATGTGCTTCAATCAAATTTGACCTTTTTTCTTCATGATCTTAGATTTAGTCCCTCCTCATAATTCTCACACACTCTTTCTAGGGGAAAGTTTATTCTCTTACCATCAGCTTGACAGACAGCAGTAAAAGTCCAAACCAGAATGAACAGTTGAACTGCATTTACAGCATTCATGGTTTTCATTCTGCAATAGAAAAAAATGACATCAGAAGGAAAACTAAGACTAATGAGAAAGTACATAGTGTAGAGCTTTGCGGACAATCTTTAGGGTGATTTAAAGTAGTTAATTATATGAGTGATTGAAGGATGACATTTTTTCTTCTTTAATGAATTACCCTTCATGTTCAAGAAACACCAATATTTTATTTAGCATCTTTAGACTTATATTTGATCAAATACAGAATATGAAAAAAATACTTTATGTAAAGTTGAGAAAATACTCAACTTCTTCAATATGTCACACTGAAACAGTTTTCCAAGGATTCACACAATAACGAATCATACCTGAATTTGAGACTCATGAGTGCAAAATACAACCACAAAATTGAATGTAATATTCAACAATATTATCGATCTGCCTTCATTGACACCATTATATGAGAACTGAACTGAGCTGGACGATGACATCACGGTTTTCTAGTTATGGATTAGTAAATATAAAGGAGAATATTTTCCTTTTGAGAGAGAGTTATTTCTTACCTCTGGTCTGTATGTCTTCAGCGTGTGTGTTCATTCTGACTCATACATTTCTAGTATATAAACGCAGGATACTAAACATACACCACCCATGAAAGAACCTCTCAAAGGTAAACGAGTGGTTTATAGATTGCATCACCTCTACATGCACATGCAGTCGTTAAACGGGTTCAATCTTAATGCAGTTTGTACAAAATTTTCCATCATCACAAACAATACAATGTACCACAGTTGTGCCTCGAGCGAGGTGCTTCCCATGATGCTTTAGGCAGACTTTCATTGAAGTAAATATGCATTTAAAATGGCTAATTCTCATTACATCTTAATTCTAAATATTTCTGTCTCGTCCATTTTTTTCCAGTATGAGTATGATATTGATATTGATAATCATAGCTTGTATGAACTGTCTTTAGTCTGAGGCGTATTATACACCCTTAAAATGAACTTTAATTAAAAATAAACTTTAATTAAAAAAAAGTCATTTAATTATTCTTGTAGAAATCAATAGCCTACCAACCGTCAAATTATCAATTCTGAAACGATTTAACTAATTGAGTGCTGTAATACTTACTAAAACACAATCAAGAATCAAGTGCATTTCATTATAGTGTTATTTATTTCTGTATTCTAGGCCATCATAAAGAGAGGCTGTACAAACACGGTCCTTACAGAACTTTCTACAAGCGAACCACATACTGTATAAAAGACCAGGAACAAAGGGAAAGAATAAAGAAACGTCAAAGAAATAAAAGGTAAACAAAAACAACTCAGTGTTTCCTTCACTTTCGGTATTTCAGTTTTGTGAGAAGTGAAAGCAGAATAATTTCATGCTGTTCATGTACATACAGGTTCTGCTTGAATTAAAGCATAGTTTCATATGTAGCTATATGTAATTATAGACTCTGCTATAATGCATTGCAACAGTTACTTTAGTTACTGTACGAGATTACTTTCTCAGAATTTAAGTATTACGTTACTGCTTTCTTTTTCTCACTTTCTCAGAACAGTAAATCATTTCTCAGAAAATGAATCTGGTATAACTTGTCCATGAGGTTCCAGATATTCATCTTTAGAGATTAAACACAAATGTTTCCTAATTCCATTGCTTTTTAAAAAACAAAACAAGCTGTGCAATACAACGCCGTTTACATCATTAGAAAATTGCATGTGTAGAAAAATAACACTACAAAATAATTTCCATATGTACCATACAAAATTAACATTCATTATATACATTCCTTGAATGTCAGAACAAAAAAAAAAAAAAAAAAAAAACAGAGCAAAACAAAAACCGGTTTTTGCTGCTTTCCCTTTTAATGTTCACACAGGCTTAAGTTCATTAAAGCCACACACACACACTGATCAAAGAGATCGATAATTTACCAATATTTCACAGAAATCAATATAAAACAGACATCAGAGTTATAGTTCAGTATGTTGAGGTTTAACAGATAATGTATGTACAGATATACTTTACTAGTTATTATGAAGTTTGTGTCTTTCATGATCGTCACATTAAAAAACAAACAAAACTCAATGCTTTCTGAGTCGGTGATATTAGATCATATTTTCTGGGTTGTTGTCCAGAAACATCCTCTTCTGTTTGTAGTTTTGTTTCATTTTGTAAATGATTGGCATAATGACGATGATGAAACAGCTTACAGCAGCAGCGATGACTGCAACTTGAAATCCACGACCTTCTGCTTTTTCATGTTTAGATGTTTCTGATTGACCCAAGATAGATTCTTCTGGAAAAGTACATTTAAAATGTTTCATGACATTGTTTAAAACCATTTATTCACAGGTGATTTAGATTGCAAATGAAGGTGTCAAACATTTATTGAATCTTATCACAGGTCTTTTATTTCAAGACATTTGTCAAGTTTTTGTCCTTAAAACGCATCCCATTTGAGCCATTTAAAGCTGTTTAACTGCTTCAAAAACAGTGATGTTACCAACTCACAATTATGAAATGTCATGTATCTTTTCAGTCGCTACACTATTTTGTTGATCATTCGCGGGCAGCGCTGATAAGCAGTGGCGGTTCTAGCCCATTTCAACTGGGGGGGCCAAGCTGGGGCCAGTTGTACTGTTAGAGGGGCCAGTTACATTTAGACCTTATTGTTGTCCTATCATTTTCTGCACTACTGCAGGCATTAACAGGCAAAATACCGTGTTTATAATCATTCAACAATGTATTTGCATTTCCATTATATTTTTACATTTGCATTACATATTCAGTATTAGTCACAGTAACTGTAATAGACATGATGTCCTTCTTTCTCTTCATTTTGAGAACTATAGAGCAAAAGCAATGGGGACCAAGAAGCTTATTAATTCATTTACTGAAAATAACTGACTTGATACGTCTAACCGTTTACAGGGTTCCTGCACACTTTTTAAAGTCAAATTTAAGGCTTTTTAAGACCTAAAGAAATCAAAATCAATACCGTACATTAGGGGTGTGCAATATTGACAAAAATATATTTCAATATTTTCAACGTTTTGTTGATAATAATTAGATGATATTTTACTGATTGTGTTTTTGTGCTGGTGCCATGGCTGGTTTAGGCCTGTTGTTGACAGCTGACTCACGAAGATATTCATATTTTTCATATTATATGGTCAGTTCACAGCAGTGACAGAAATAATTTTTTTAATTAAGGGGCAATATTTGCCACCTTAAATTGATTTCCAGGGGCATTTTCACCTATATATGGACATTTTTTCTAAACTTATTTAGAGTTATGCATCACCTTTTATGTCAAATACTAACATTCAAATTAAACAATAATTATACTTATTTATACAATAATACTTAATTATACAATAATTATACAGTACCACTGCTACCAGTCAAATTAATTAATTCAATCAAAATCCATCTTTGCAGTGCAGAGGTGACACAGAAGTGGCATTAATATATTTACACTCCATTTACAATAGCATAAATAAAGCTATGAGATTTTTTTTAAATCAATATTTAAATATGAAATGATTTCTAATTTTAACGTTTTAATTAAAGGATACTTTAAATATGAAACTAAAACCGCCAGTAGGCGGCGGCAAGTCCCTGTAAGAGGGATTCATTCATTCAACCGATTTGTTCAAACGGCTGATTCATTCGGGAAAGAAGCAAGTGATTCGTTCAAAACGCGGATTTCAGACTAGTCAAAATCATCGCTGTGTTGCATTGAGACTCACGGTTTCATTATGAAATTCTAGTCGGCGAAATAAAGGGAAAACAAACAATATTGACAATATTGTGTCTAAAAAGTTCTCCCAATGTTAACTTATTGTTAATTTAACTGTTGTATAACATAAATATCACAGTTGCAATTGTGCATGGGAAAACTGCACTCTTGCTGATGTGATATTCTAATATAAGAACATAATATGATATAAATATAAGACAAAAACTAATTTGGGGACATAGCCTACCTATGAACTGCACACAGCAGTGAAAGGACGATAGACAAATGCGATGGCACCTCACAGTGCCTACATAGTTAAAACAATGATTACAATATCATAATAGACAATAGGCTACACATCACACACCCCATTCGCACATAAAGAATGAACTTACAACTGAACTGACATTTACCAACTTTCTCCTTCTCTCCTCTCTCGCGTGCAGGAGACAGGCGTTATTCTGCCGCGATTCCCGGGAATGTGATGCGAATTGTCACGTTAAAAAATGCAAATCCACAAAGATAGAATAATAAAAAATAATACGCATACAACGATAACAACGATAGCAAAAAAAAGTTTTGTACAAATTATTTCAAACTCCACATTTAGGGGGGCCACAAGGGGGGCCAAGCTTTTTGTCACAGGGGCACTGGCCCCCCCTGGCCTCCCTCTAGAACCGCCACTGCTGATAAGATTCAATGCGCGTACATCTCATCTCTGTGTGTGTGTGTGTGTGTGTGTGTGGAGACAGAGCTGAAGAACAACAGTGTGATTTACATGGATAATAAAAGCTCATTTAGAAGGGAAAACATGGAAGTTGTTTGTCATTTTTATCCTTTTGATTGTCATATTTGTTTTGGTCAGTGTCTTTGAATGAAATAACTGCGATAAGTTGGCGAAGTGATAAGCAACTGTAATGCGGTCGACAGACATTTAACTACTTCATTGCTGAGCGTTTACTGGAAAATAATTTCACACCTGGGAACATTCGTCAACCAATCAGTATCAAGCATTCAACAGTCCCGTGGTATAATAAAATATATTACCTTTCTTTCCAGGATCCACATTGACAGGTTCAGGTTTACTGGTCTCTGTGAACAGATTTTAAACCACTGTTAGTAGATTGAAAATAAAAGTACAGTTGCAAACATTTATTAAATTATAAATAGCAGTATTAAATACTGTACCTGTTATATCCACAGTGAATTGTGTTTTTTCATTTCCAAAATTTGTTTGCAAAAAGAATCTGAATTGTCCCGTCATTACTGTAGTTGAACTGAAGCTGCATGTGAAGCTGTTTCTCTGTTCACAGGAGTCAGGAGGAAACTCTTCTCTACAGATTGTTAGGTCATCATATTTCTCAGGATATATAAACTTATACACTGTAATGCAGCATTCAGACTTCTTCAGAGAGACGCTGCAGTTTAAAGTTACTTCTTTCCTCACAGTTCCAGTCACATCCTCACAGCTTACACTGAAGTCATCTGAAAAAAAAACAGTGTATCATCATATAATACAGCAACTGAACAATAATAAAAAATGTCTGTAACTTTAATAAGAAAATCATATTCACTTCCACTGAATATTGTGCATCTTTATTTTTTTGTGTATATATGAATCAAAACATTTTACATTATTTTTAAAATGTAGTCCCTTCTCTCACACTCTTTCTAGGGGAAAGTTTATTCTCTTACCATCAGCTTGACAGACAGCAGTAAAAGTCCAAACCAGAATGAACAGTTGCACTGCATTTACTGAATTCATGGTTTTCATTCTGCAAGGAAAAAATGACAGAAAGTTGCATTAAGAGTGAAACTTAAACAACTAGACTAATAAGAAAGTGCTGGAGATTAAATAGTAGCTTGAGACAATTTACTGAAGTTGAGCAGAAATGTCAGAATTTATCAGCAAAAGTTTGCTTGGATTAAATCAAAGACTTTAGGAATAGATCAACCAAAAACAACAAGTCTGCCATCATTTGACCATATATGGATCAGTAAATAATATAAAGGATTTTCCTGTTGAGAGAGTTATTGCTCACCTCTGGTCTGTATGTCTTCAGCCTGTGTGAGTTCACTCTGACTCTATACTGGCTACACTTTCACTTTCCCTTTTAAAAAGAGCAGTCGGTGCTGTCACTCACTGACTTGCAAATCTCCCCTTCATGATGTAAAGGTGAAGACAGCTGGCATTTCAATACTTCAAATCCTCCCAGTGAATATCTATACCTATCAAAATCGGTTACTAGATTTAATAAGTCAAGGTCAAGGATTTTAATAGCTTGGACATAATTGCTCTACTCTTCAATGCTATAATTGTAATATGCATGACTGCATTCAAAGAGTCAAGGCGGTGTTGTTGTTTCCCTTTACTATTGCACACCTGAACAAACACAACAGGGAGATTTTTCTTCTTTGTAATGCATTAAACCCTTATCCAACTATACAGAACTTGTCAATCTATTCCTCATCAAAGGAAAACAGGTTTTTAATAGATTGCATCACCTCTACTGCATGCAGTCGTTAAACCATGTGTCAAAGAATGAATGCATGCAGTTTGTCTAATATTTTCCATCATTACAAACAATACAAGTCACAACTGTTGTGCCTCGAGCGAGGTGCTTCCATAAGGGAGACTTTCACAGTAAACATGCATTTGAAATGGCTATGAATCATTGTTTTGTAATATATTCGCTGCGGGGACGATTGTGACGTGGGCATGGATTTGTCAGGGTCTTGTTATCCATGGTTAACATGGTTACCCCTTAAACATGTCATTATATGCATTGTAAAACTTTTCCCCACCCAATTATAACATTTGTATTATAATTATAACAAAATATATTAAAACTAACTTAATATCTTAATTTAAAATAATAATACTACATGTTAAATAAAACAACAAATTATATCGAGCTCTAAACTGCGACATGATGAAACATATAGGCGTTACAATCATGCATCATATAGTTTAAAACATTTAAATAGACACATCAAGAGAATGATCACGAGATATATTCCTCACGGAGGAACAACAATTTAAAAAATGGGCTAAAAAAAGACTGCCTTGGTTTCATATGCTGTAACTTTTGATTAGCCTACTAACGTTACTTTATATTACCAGAAAATAGTATCCAAATGCAGCAATGCAGCCCACATGTAGGGGAACTTCACCAAAAACCTTCCTCCTATTCCCTTCCTGAGATATGGAATGTCAAATAAGAAAGATAGGATCATAGCCCTATGTAAAATTATTAAAACATTTTTTTTTTTTTTCTTAGCATGAGAATGTGATGAATTTATTTTCTAAAAAGTTTTCTATTGAACGATACATACCGTTTGGCTCTGTTTGCTGTAGTTTGGGAGATATGAGTCTTTGTTGTTTTTGCAACTTATGTCACTCAGAAAAAAAAAAGACTTAAACTAAAACTAAATCCTTCAGGGTTCAATCCGTAGTGCTAATTACTTCTGTCTGTCTTGCACATCTTTATCCTTTATCCATTCGGTTCTCCAGCACTGAGATCACCCCCGACGAACAGTACGAGTAGCCTATATCATGATAATCTGGTGGTCTCGCAGCTCCTCTGCTGTTATAAGGAGGGAATGGGGCATACTCTCCCCAGAGTAACAAAATAAGAGTCCTTTTTTTTATTCTGTCCATGTGAATTAATAGCCTAGGCCTACTTGTTAATCTGCAAAAGGAAATGCCGAATAGCTTAGAAAAAACATAACAGTTGTGTATATACGTTGTGTGTGTATCACATAAACACCCTGAAAATGAGCTCTAGAAACCCCTTTAAAAAGAGTTGACTATTAAAAAAAAAAAAAGATCCAACTTAACGTGAAAATCAAGTAAAGCATCAGTAACTGTCAGAAATGAACAAAATCTGATTTAATTGACCTAGTGCTGTTGTAATGCTTAATAAAACAGTCGAGAACGTCACGCGATAATTTTGGCGCATTTCATTATAGTTTTTTATTTATTTCTGTATTCTCTAGTCTAGGCCATTATAAAGAGAGGATGTACAAAGTAAACACGGTCCTTACAGAACTTTTTACAAGCGAACCACATACTGTATGAAACAAAGTTTTGAGGATAATTGATCTAATTTTGTGTCTCAGGAAAGTGATCTATGACACTGTATTGTGTTGAATATCAAAGTTGTCTTGTGTCTATACTGTATGTTAATGAGTGATTTGTGGACACATCAGTGTTTTTGGATTTGTGGAGTAAAAAGTTAGTTTATATTTTTACGTAAAAATATAATAAGTGGCATGTTGTTACTTGTTTTTTATTATGTTTAGACTTAATACTTAATGTAATTAATTGGGTTATTTAAATTTTTTATGTTTATTAGATTTACATTTCAGACGTGTTTGTTTTTAGTAAAACCTATCGGTTAATTCAATTACTAAAAACAAACATTTTACTTAAACAATTAACTTAATTGAGATAAATCATTAAATTCGCTTTGTGTTTCCATTATGACATATCTTCAATTAAAATATGGGCAATTAAATATGTAAATATTCATTAGCATGTATAAGAATAATTTTACCTTTCAGATTAATCTCTGTTACTGGGATTCAGCGTTGTCTGTCATCGGTTATTCAATTATTCAACTAAATTGTCAAAATAAAATTAAATACAATAGCTGATTTATTATTTCACATTAATGCCACTTAGAAATATATATAAATATTAATAAGAATTATATCAAAAGTAAATTATAAATTCTGTAAAAGTTTATCCAGAAGGAACTATCTTATCCCTCATTTAATATTTGTCATTTTTGTGCTATAACAGCTAAATGAGCAAATATTCCTATTAAAAACACATTGGCTGATGCATCAACATCCAGCACATGCTTAACTTATATTTACATATGTTACAGTTTAAAAGTAAATACACATTTTCCTTCCTAAAACATTTCATCTTCCTAAAACATTATATTCATACATGTATAACACTTGAGCAGAGATCGGCTTTCTGACTTTATATTCCTACATCACCAATTACCATATTAACTTGTAATCGTCACTAGTGTAGTTTTCCTTTCACAGACAGTAAAGTTGATTAAAAATACTGAAAAGAGACTTATATGGACAATATTGAGATTATCATGAGACTTTAATAATTTAATACAAACAATTAAATGCTACTTTAAAAGAAATCTATGGGCAAATGCAATGGCATATACAATGTGGATATATGACAGTCAAAACTGCTAAAATAAAATAATATTTTACTCAAATTATTCAAGTCTTTAAAAACACAAAAGCAGAATTATCTGATGCAGAATATCTCAACATGGCCAAATATTGGCTGAATAATTGGTCTGATCAATAATGATCTAAAATGTTGTAAAATAACAAGTTTATGAGTTTTAGTTCAATGAAAGACATTTAGAGTTAAACTGAACATTATCACTTGCATGATCTTTACATGAAAAATTAAACAAACTCTCTTCATTTAGTTTCACTCTGAACATTTACTGTCCTCATTGTTGGTTCCTCTTTCATATTTCATCTGGAATCCAGAAGGGTTGTTGCGTTTGAACCTCTTTACACAAAAGATTGTCATGATGATAATGAAGATGGAAGAGCCCACAACAGCACCAGTGGCGATAATGGCTTTAGATCCACGACCTGTTTAATATCATTTATAATAAAATTTAGAATATTCAGTAATATTCAGTAATCTCTTTAGATGCATTCAAATGCTGTATCAACACTGTTACTGTTTGTAACATCACAGACTTCACAATGTATTTCTGCTGCTGTTAGAATTTGTACACATATCTAAATGTACTCTATACAGAAACAAAATTCGAATGAAATAAAATTCAAACAACTATATAGAAAGTTTCTGTGTTCTGTAAGTAACCTGAATTCATACTCTGTAACAAAGAGTTATAATAGAATGTAATATCTTTCTTACCAGAAACTTCAGTGCCACTTTTAGGTGTAATGGTCTCTGTTAACAGATATTAAAACAATGTTAGTAGATGGAAAACAAAAGTAGAGTTGCTAACATTGAGTTTTAAACATCAGCACAGCGTACACTGCAGAAATCGGAAAAGTTTACATCAGTTTAATACATCAATAGAAATCTAATTTGACCCTTTACACATCAAAAGTAAAGTTGAAGTGTGTAGCTTGATTGATTATATACAGTTATGTGTATATAACAAAAACAGCATCAGCAAGTTGTTTTATAGCTGTATAATGACTATTTAACAGTTTCTTGTATTCTGTTAGATTAACCAATTTGTTTTCAATTATAAATAATTATAATACAATGTAATATATTTCTTACCAGGATCCTCAGCGACAGGTTCAGGTTTACTGGGCTCTGTGAACAGATTTTAGACCACTGTCAGTAGATTGAAAATAAAGTACAGTTGCAAACATTTATTGAATTATAAACAACAGTATTATATGCGGTACCTGTTATATCTGTTATTTTATTTCCACACTTTGTTTGGATAAAGAATCTGAATTGTCCCGTCATTACTGTAGTTGAACTGAAGCTGCATGTGAAGCTGTTTCTCTGTTCACAGGAGTCAGGAGGAAACTCTTCTCTACAGATTGTTAGGTCATCATATTTCTCAGGATATATAAACTTATACTTTATAATGCAGCATTCAGACTTCTTCAGAGAGACGCTGCAGTTTAAAGTTACTTCTTTCCTCACAGTTCCAGTCACATCCTCACAGCTTACACTGAAGTCATCTGAAAAATAACAATGTGTAACATATAATACAGCAACTGAACAATACTAAAAAAAATGTCTATAACTTTAATAAGAAAATCAGATTGACTTCCACTGAATATTGTGCATCTTTATTTTTTTGTGTAAATATGAATCAAAACATTTCCCATTAATTTAGAATTTAGTCCCTTCTTAAAATTCTCACACACTCTTTTTTATTCTCTTACCATCAGCTTGACAGACAGCAGTAAAAGTCCAAACCAGAATAAACAGTTGCACTGCATTTACAGCATTCGTGGTTTTCATTCTGCAATAGGAAAAAAATGACAGAAAGTTACATAAAGAGTGAAACTTAAAAAATAAAATGGATAA